ATAGTTAGGGGTTGGCTCGGTTCCCAGACTACACTGGAGCACTGGGCTTTATGCCCCCCACATTCAGTGCATTTGGTGGGTACTGGGTTCTTGGCCTGCACCGTGTCAGGGTCCCTGCACTTCCAATCAGCACGGGGCACAGGCTCCCTCGCCTTAAGTGAGACAGGAACAGTGCATTTCCCACTTGCCTTGGGGTAGTGGACCCTGTTTTCCCAGCTACATCCCTAATTTGAACCCAGCCAATGGACACTCTGCGTGGGGTCCCCTGGACCCTGTGTCCCCCATAACGTGCCTAGGTGTCGTGTGGCAGTGCTTGGCCAGGTGGGTGCAGAGGAGAGGTGTGATGTGGGTCTGTACCCCTTACCCCAGTATAGAGCAAATGCTGGCCGCCAACCCCGGCAAGACCCCGATCAGCCTTCTTCAGGAGTATGGGACCAGAATAGGGAAGACGCCTGTGTACGACCTTCTCAAAGCCGAGGGCCAAGCCCACCAGCCTAATTTCACCTTCCGGGTCACCGTTGGCGACACCAGCTGCACTGGTGAGGAAGGCTTGGGCAGCCTGGCTGGGGTGTGCATTTAAGGGCCCATTGCTTTGTATCGTGGAGTCTCTCTTCACAGTCCTCTTTTCCAAGGCCAGTAAGATTTCAGGGTATTTCAAGATTACAGAGATTCCAGGGGAAAAGCCACTGACTGTAGTGGCAGAACAGGGCTATGAGAAGTGGGTAGACTTGGGGAAGTCAGAGGAGTAAGTAGGACTGCCTTGGGGATCTGGCAGGTCCCCATCACTCCAGAGGAAAAGGAGAGAATACTTTACATTTTCAGTGGATATTTGGCGGAGTGAGAGCTACCATGCCGGGCTCTATATCTGAATATCAGTAAACTGAGTATCAAATTGAATGGCTGGGACACTGTCATATGTCTAGTAAGTGGCACAGTAGGGCTTTGTAGAGCCTACTCTATTGTTCCAGCTGTTTATTGAGGGAAAAGAAAGTACTTTGCAGAGGGAAGTAAGGCAGAGAAAGAGTCTCCACCTAAAGGGAGCTCAGAATTCCTGCTTGGCATGGCATAATTCTAGGAGCTAATAGAAAGATAAAAGCCCTTCTTTCCAGCAGTTAGTGAACCGTTCTAGTCTTGGGCAGGGGGAGGATGGTCAGAGGAGCTTGATTGACTCCCTCTGGCTGTGAGGAAAGAGACTGGGATGCTGGTTTCTCTTCTGTTCTTCCAGTGACCTCCAGTATTGCCCACACCCCCTCTCTCAGGTCAGGGCCCCAGCAAGAAAGCAGCCAAGCACAAGGCAGCTGAGGTGGCCCTCAAACACCTCAAAGGGGGGAGCATGCTGGAGCCGGCCCTGGAGGACAGCAGGTGAGGGAGGAACAGCCAAGGCACCTAGAAGTCCTGCCAGGAACCCAGGCCCTGTACCACCGTCCACTCTCCTTGAGCCTGGCCTGGTGACCTTTACCACCCTGACCTTTCCCCTTCCAAGAGTTTCCTCTGGACCCAAACAGAGTGTTTCTAGGGCTTCTGCTGCTGTGAAGAATTCTCTGGGGAATAGCCAGCCCCTTTGCAGGATTGTAGCTGTAATTGGGGTTGGGGTTAGGGAGGGCGGGGGAGGAGGCTGAGGTTGACAGGAGTTGCTCCCTTACATGCTTCCTCTTACTAGCAAATATGTCCTTCCCTCTTCTATGCTCAGGTTGGAATTTGTTGTTCCCATGGTTCTTGGGTAGGAAGAGACTTCTTTTCTAAGATGACATTTTCTCAGTCTTTTTGAGCCAGTAGGGGCAGCAAAGCATCCCAGGAGGAAGATGTTGGGTCTCTTGAGTCTGGCTCAGTTGAGAAGTTCTCTTAAGGCATGGGCAGGTCAGGAGACCTGAGTCCCCACCCCTCTATTCTCCCTGCACCTGGGTGTGAATCCAAGACCCCCTTCCCCTCGGGAAGTTCTTTTTCTCCCCCAGACTCTTCACTGCCTGAGGAGGTTCCGGTTTTTGCTGCTGTGGCAGTTGCTGCTCCTGTTCCATCCACTATCTTAATCAGGTATCTTGTGTTCCCTGACTGCTGTAAAGGGTGGGGAGGAGAAGGTCCTGGCTCCTGGCTCCTCATCTAGGCTAGTCAGGCATGAGGAAGTCTGACAGTGAGCAAAGAATGGAATAGTTGGGGACAAGAGCTTGCAGAATTTGCACCAATTGGTAAGCTTTTGGGACAGGGGGTAATTTATGATTTTTTTTTTTTTTTGGTGGGAGGATACAGGGGATTGAAACAAGGGGTACTCTACCACTGAGCTACATCCGTTTTTTAAATTTTTTGAGACTGGGTTTTGCTAAGTTGCTGAGGCTGGCCTTGAATTTGACTATCTTCCTGCCTCAGCCTCCTAAGTCACTGGGATTACAGGCATTCACCACCATGCCTGGCTTAATTTATGATTCTTAAATAGCAATATGGATGAAGTCTGATGATATTTAATGGTCTTGTAGTCTACAGTTTCTTCTGGGTTGACCATTTGATGATTCTGTTTGAGATCCATTAACTGCTCTGGGACTAGCTATTCAGCCCTTCTCCCACCGTCCTGGGAAGATGATAACCGAATATTTTTTAATCTAAATGCGGCACTTCTTTTGTGGGGGAGTGGGAGGAAGCAGGCCAGAAATAGGGAGATGGCATGGGAAAACCAAGCAGTGGTTAAGACTTGGGCTTGTGGGTAGCCCCAGAAGGAACCATTCTCAGCTTTGGCCTGGGCCCTTTTTCCTTCAGGAGCCCCCCCATGGAGATGCAACCCCCTGTCTCCCCTCAGCAGTCTGAGTGCAACCCCGTTGGTGCGCTGCAGGTGTGCCCCCATCCTCATTTTCCATGCATGCCTGTCTTCCCTTGAACCAGGGGCTGCAAGAGTTTGTGGGTGGGGCAGTTACCTTGTACTAAGGCCTTTCCACACCCCTCCTTCCTGTCATCTAGAGTTTGAGGCTTTTGGGTAAGGGCCAGTATAGATATAGGGAGTCTCTTCTCACTTGGCCTTGTGCTCCCTGTGTCTCCTCCAAGGAGCTGGTGGTGCAGAAAGGCTGGAGATTGCCAGAGTACACAGTGACCCAGGAATCCGGGCCAGCCCACCGCAAAGAGTTCACTATGACCTGCCGAGTGGAGCGTTTCATTGAGATTGGTAACTGGACAGAAGGGGGTTCTCAGCTCATATTCCACAGCCCTCCAACCCTGACACAAGGCAGTTCCTGGCTTTAGTTTGCTGCACCCTGCCTCTTCTTGCTCCATAGTTGCTGACTCAGCTTCTTTCTCCTACCTTCTTTGTATCCTCTTTCCCCCATCTTCAGCTGACCAGGTTCTTGGGTGCATGGGCAGGTTCTGAGCTCCCCTTTCTCACTGACATTCATGTGGGTGGAAAGCACAGGTCTGTTGGGAGTTAGAATCGAGCAACCCTCTTCCATGCACAGGCAGTGGCACTTCTAAAAAGCTGGCCAAGCGTAATGCAGCCGCTAAAATGCTGCTTCGAGTGCACACAGTGCCTCTGGATGCCCGGGACGGCAATGAGGCGGAGCCTGATGACGATCACTTCTCCATTGTGAGTGTCTTGCGTGGGCCGGGGACATGGTCGACTTTCCATGACTCAGCAGGGCACCAGGCATTGGTTCTGTGACTCGGGAGTAAGCTTTCTCAGTCCTGGGTGTGCTTACGCTCCAATTTTCCTACCAGACCTAGGGCTTCTTGGGTCTCTGAGGCCCCCTCAGCCTCGACTCGTGGTTCACTGGTGAGTGCTGTGGGGGAGCTGGCTTGGGGTGGGGAACTGCAGGCTTCCATTTCTGGGATGAAGAAAGCTGCCTTGCCATCATGTCCAGAGTCTAGAAGTTAGAGGATGCTATGTAGGGACTGACTGGGGGAAGGACAGCTGGAAGAAGAGGCATTCTTTGGGCTTTTCTTTTCTTGAACACTGTCTGAATGCCTGGGTTCCACAGCCCCTGGCTACATCTTTTTCACTTTTCCCATCTTGTCAGGGTGTGGGCTCCCGCCTGGATGGACTTCGCAACCGGGGCCCAGGCTGCACCTGGGATTCTCTGCGAAATTCTGTGGGAGAGAAGATCCTGTCTCTTCGCAGTTGCTCCCTGGGCTCCCTAGGTGCTTTGGGCTCTGCCTGCTGCAGTGTACTCAGTGAGCTCTCTGAGGAGCAGGCCTTCCATGTCAGCTACCTGGATATTGGTATGACTAGTTGGGGAGCCAGGGGATGGTGGGGACTGAATCAGAGCTAGTATAAGGGGATCAGGAGGGGATGATGATGATGTGGATGTACCCCAGCCCAGTGCTCCGCCCCATCCAACACTGCCTCCCTTCCTTTTGGTCTACAGAGGAACTGAGCCTGAGTGGTCTCTGCCAGTGCCTAGTGGAACTGTCCACCCAGCCAGCCACTGTATGTCATGGCTCTGCAACCACCAGGGAGGCAGCCCGAGGTGAGGCCGCTCGCCGTGCCCTGCAGTACCTCAAGATCATGGCAGGCAGCAAGTAGAGCCTCAGATGGACTCATGGATGTGTACTCTTTGCTCCCTGCTTTTCCTGCCTTTGGGCCCACGTATCCACTCAGCTCTGGTACCTTCTGGAGGTGCCCTCTCTACCTCTGACACAAGACTGCCTGCCTTGAGCTGAAGAAGGCACAGGGCAAGGAGCCAGGGACCACCGGGCCTCAGCCAGCCCAGAGTGTCTACCTATAGGTGATGACAAGTGGGAAGGGGGCTCTACTAGAGTCCAGAATAAACATGCTGCTCCTAGGTTTCTTAAACCCTGCTCTTTCTGTGCCCTGAGTAATGTGGATGGTGGGGGTCAGCACCACATCCTTCGTCTACTGCCCCCCGCCCCCATTCTCATGGTCTTGCAGGAAGTAAGTAGTGGTGTAGTGGCCTCGGGAGCCTTGTCAGCTGCAATGGCTGGAGTTTGGTTTGGTGGAGGTAGAGGTTGGTGGTCCTTGCCTCAGGCTCTTTCCCAGCCCTGTAAAGTCTTATCTGGATACACACGGATTCAGAAGCCAGACCACTTTATTTGGGGGGACACATGGCACTTTGGGCCTTGCATGCAAACACATCAAGGGATGACACTTATTTTTTCCCAAAGCGCTGAGGGGCAGCCAGGCTCCAGAACTCTCCAGCCCGGGGATTCAGTTGCTCGTTGCTCCAGGGTCCCCAGGTATTTCTGCCAAACCTAAGGGAGAGATTCATCCTCAGATGTAGCTCCTTCTAGTCTCCCTCCTTGAGTCCCTTCCCTTTTCTCTTCTTTTTCTGCCCTTCCCAGACCCTGCTATGCTCCTCTACTTTTCAGACTCACCTCTGGGGCTGAAACAGGAAGGCTGGACTCCGGCCAGGTCTCTCCATGGCCTGGAGCAGGGAGCGCAAGAGGGACCCAGGGGTCTGGGCATGCTGCAGTGAGCTGGGTCCATTGTCTTCTTTCTGCAGCAAGAGGGTGGCAGGGAGGGAAGATGGGCAAATGCCCTGGACACTAAAGATACAAGGGGAAAGAAGTAGCTTCTAAGAGCAAATTGAAGGAGGCTGGTGGGGATGGGGTGCTCACTTACCACAAAGACCTGGTCTCCTCCATCCTGGCCTCTTGGTACTTCAGCATGGCCCCAGTCCGTTAACAGTAGCAACACCAGCAGCACTATCACCCGCCTGGAATCCATGCTGCCATCAGCCTTCCTACAGCCACACCAGCCTCTTATACCTGCTGTACCCCTATCTCCCACCCCCAACAGCAGCCTGAGGGGGAATCTAGACAGGCAATGGAAATGCACGGCTCTATTAAGGGCCACCTGGGATCCCCTCTCATGTGTCCCCTGGGGCTCCCTGCTTTCAGTCTCCCACCCCCAGCCCCTAAGCCTGGAGTTATAGACTTTATTAGATGCATAAATCCTGTCTCCAGAGCTCAAGAAACATCATTTATTGCAGATGTTTTGTCAGAGCCAGGCCCTAGGGGGCCTTAAGAATCCCCAATCCCTCAACAGGTTGGAGAGCTTCAATTGATCACTCCTTTCCTAACTTGTAGACTTAAGCATAGACAGACTCCTGTCAAGAAGGCTAGATGTTATGTCCTGGATGGGAGGGAGAATGGGAAGGACCCAGGTCAGAGTTGGCCAGGGTGATATAGCCTGGTCCCTTCCCTGCCTGGGTCAGCAGTCAGAATCATACAGCCTAGTCACACCCCTGCCTTTGGGAAGGTTAAACCTGGAATCACCACTCTGAGAGTTGACTGTGGACAGAAAAGTGAGATACAGGAGACTGATGGGGTTTTGGAGCCCAAAGAGCAGAGATGGCTTCACATCTTTGTGGACAGACCCATCTTCACTAGACAGTGCTGCCTCTCCACTCTTCTTGGGAACTGACCTTCGCAGCTATAGCTCTGCTGCCACCCTGTGGCCACTGTTCCTTACTACCAGGTCCAGTCATTTTCTTTTTCAGCATAGCTCTTTCAAGGAGGAACCTAGGAGGGTGAGAGGTCCTGAAGCCCTGACTCGCAATGGCAGCAGAAGGATACTGTGGAGCTGGACTGTCATTTTGTTTCACCTCCTTGTGGACAGTACAGCCTCTACCTGGCTCTGACGCTGAGGCAAGGCAACATGAATCTTGCCTTAGGAAACATCAGAATAACAACTATTCAGGGAGGCACTTTTATTATGTCGTGCAGTTTCCTGCTAATTGTAGAATCCCTTCCTGAGCACGGGTTCCAGTTTGGGGTTCCAGCCTATGGTGAATGGCATAATGGGTCTCTGACTCAGCCCTGGTCCAGCTATCTACCTCTATAAACTTCAGGTTTCTAACATGGGAACATTAAAAGGAATTACTTCCTAGGGTAAGCATTATTCAAGATACCTTTTGTAATCCATCCAGCACAGGATCTGGCAAGCAGCAGGTATCCTCAAAACATTAGCTGTGATTACTTTCACACCCCAGACCCAGGGAACTTACCATTTCCTGAGAGAGTCTTTGGATAGATTTATCCTTATGCTGAGCTGGCTTCAGTCTCCCTGTGGCATCCACCGGGTGGGTATCTTAGTTTGCTCCATTAGGCCTCACAGAATATCTTTAGTGTCTAAAGACATTTCATTCTTCCATTCTAATCTTTTTTGCCCAATGGGAAGTGCTCCCCTCTTTGAAGCAAGGCATCTTGGAACTTATACATTTGTATATTAGAACAGGTTTTGATCTGGATGTTTTATATAGGATACATTAATATTCCTATTAATGTAGTCTAAATTCAGGTAAACATTTTTGTAAGCTTTGTCTCATGGTTGGTTCTAAATACCAAACTGACGTCATAGTTACATCTTGTAGTTCATTTCTTAAAAGGGAATATTAAATCCATGGGTGGCTGGTTCTGTATTCTGTCACAGTCCTTGTTTGTTCCTATGTGACAGATCCAGAGGAGCAGGGTGGCAAGGCTGGGTGGGGCACTGCAAACTTGCAAACTGGCTCTGGGCCAGACAGAACTGTTTTTATCTTTGCTCTTGCACTTCATTGTTTGACTTACCTAAACTTTAGTTCATCAATAATAAAAATGAAGCAACTCCTTCGGTTATTAAAAGGCTGTTGTGAACAGGAAATGATTTGAGTGCAAAGCATGCTACCATTTCCACCTAGCACAGAGCAGGCACTTAATACCCACCATGCTGCTGCTTCCCCTCCTAATATTCCTGAGTGCCAATTACAAGTGGGTCTGAGCTGAGGCTGCATTCAAAAAGGGGCTGGTCTAGCTGCTTTCCTAATCTACGATGAAGGAGACTGATCTCTGTTTAGAAGTCAGAATGGGTTAATCCTAGACTAGTACACTGCCCTTCCTTCAGGGTCACATTCCTACCTCCAAGACATTGCAATTTGGGTCCTGGTATTTGACTTTCAGCAACTTCCTCTCATCTTTCCCTAGTCTCTCATGTGCTTCTGACCACAATACAGTGAAAGCCTTTGCTGCTGTTCCCACTCTCCTATGGAGGCCTGTATATGCCAACTGTCTACCAAACAACAGCCACAAACAGCTTCATACATCATTCTTTTCCTAAGGGAAATCTCAGCAGCACCTGCTACCTCTTTTGTCATCCTGGCACTATTCTTATTACCAATGAAAATTATCAGGAACAGACAGATGCATGATATTGTTAGTGATTTTCCCCGTTCCTCCTCCTCAACCCCTATTCTCTTAGCATTATCTGTCTTCTTGGGAGCTCTCAGCAGCTTCTAAGCAAGTCTCCCTTCATCTCCAGACCAACCACTTCCATACTGTCCCTCTGCCATAGAAAGGTTCACTTTCTGTGTGTATACTCCCCAGCCATGCTGAAAACTTACCAACTGTTGGGGGTGGGGCAAGGTGGGGACAAAAGAGAAAGATAAGGTCAATTGCCTTCAGATATTCCCATCCTTCATTCACATAAAGCAAACACTAAGTTCACAGGTGAATGTTTCTGTGATGCCAAGGGCCCTTATCTTTGAGCCAGTCCACAGATCTGAGCTCTGTGTCCTTGGTCATGCTGTGTAATTTATATAAATCTACAGCCTTCTGGAGGCTGCACCACTCCTGTATTAAAAGTAGAGACAAGAATCCCTACTCCTTCTGTCCTAAGAAGTTAGAGGGAGAAGAGACTTGCAGATATGAAAGCCCAGTGAGTCCCCAGAAGAGTGGTCAGTGGGATTTGTTCTTTCTTTTTTTTTGGTACCGGGGATTGAACTCAGGGGCACTCCACCACTGAGCCACACCCCCAGCCCTATTTTGTATTTGATTTAGAGACAGGATCTCATTGAGTTGCTTAGCATCTCACTTTTGCTAAGGAAGGCTGGCTTTGAATTTATGATCCTCTTGCCTTAGCCTCCTGAACCGTTGGGATTACAGGTGTGCACCACCACACCCAGACGGTCAATGGGATCTGTAGGTCAGAGTAGTGAAGCATCAGACAAACGAGTGGTTCTCTTGATAGTTTAATGTTATATTTGCAGCATAAATAAGGCACAATATATGTCAGGGCAAGGGAGGGAGGGAGGAGGGAGAAGGCATGGCTGGGGAATAACTGCTAAGTGGCAAAGGGACGGTCACAGAGAAGAGAGCAAAGCCCCACCTCAGCCCCGTCCCAAAGAGTGTGAGAGCCTGCTCACAGGGTCATGCTGAATTGGATGGAGGGGAAGGGGGAAAGATAGTTTTGTAACAAAACTGCCTGTAGCACTGCATCCTCCCACCTGTCAGGGTCCACCACTAGAGACTGGGGAGACCCAGATCAAGTTGAGTTCCTTGATGAGATAGAGAGGTGCTGCTACATGTCAAAAATATATAGATGAACAGAGATATAATCATAGATACAAACTTTCTTCTCCATAGATACTATTATCAGGATGCAGCAGCCTCCACTGATGGGGCTGGAGGCTCAACTCTTCCCTGCCTGCAAGGTGTGCTTGTATATGGGAGGAACAGGCAGCTAAAGCTCCATCTGGTCCTTAATGTAATCAAGAATGCAGAGCGACCAGTCTGCAAGGGAACAGGGACAACTCTTGTCTAGACCAATATACGGACAGGTTTTATAGAAAAGACTAAAAGGAAGAAAACCTAGTTTGAGATGAGTGATGTGGTTGTGGTGGTGGTGGTGGTGACTGTTTTAATAGGAGTTGAGGGAGGGACTGGAAGAAATGGAAAAATATGTTAGTGCTAAGGCAGAGGACGATATTTAAAATAATTCTCCATGTCCTGTAAGAAGCTCCCAAATTGCCCGTAAGGTGATGATTCTCAAACATCAGTGCACATTAGAAGGGCTTGGAGTGCTTACTGAAACCCACTCCCAGTTTCTGATTCTGATTTGGTAGATCTCAGTTGGGCTGAGAATGGGCATTTCTAGCAAGTTCCAGGTGACAGTGATACTCCTTCTGCTGGTCCTGGGTCATACTCTGAGAACCAGAAACTTAACGTAAAGTCATTGTGACTACTATTTGTGGCCACTTACAGCTAGTGCATCACTCATCAGTAGCTGGGATGAGTTATCTCTGTGCTTCTAGCTCCCCATTAAAAAAATAAACCCTTGTAGCTACAATGCAAACCTGCATCTAAGAAAGACATAAATTGCCTTAATCTGCCCTACTCTCTCCATCCTTTTCTCATTCTGGGGTAGGATTTTACCCCAAAGAGAAGTAATTCAACTGGTGCAGAGGATGGGAATGTTGGCCAGCTGCCACCTATATTCATTCCTGTTGGGTCACCACCCCAGAGTGAGTGCATGGGGATTTATGTTTGCATGCACATTCATGTGTGCATACAGAAACAGAGAAATCAGTTCTATTTCATGAGATAATTAGGGAGGCTGTAGGCTCTAATCTGCCTTAGGAGCCTCACCTATTCTGTTCCTCCACACCTTCCACTCCAAACATAAATCTAAAGAAAGGAGAGAACGCATTAGCAAAGGCATAGCAAATGACACAGCTAGGAGGACTGGACTCTAAACAGACTGGTTATGAAATAAAAAACAAAAACAAAATAATTTCTTTCCTGTGTACACAATGTACAATATTAATGGGAAAAATAATTTGGGGATGGGAAGGAAATTAGGAAAAGGGGACTTATTTTTTTTTGTTGGGGAGAGCTACCTTGGGGCTAGCACCTTTCCCGAGCCTCTCAGTGTGAAGCAGGAGAGCCTCAGAAACAGGAAAGATTTCTTGGCATCTGCTTGGTGATTCAGGCTGTAGATGGTGCACAGATATGGTGAAGCACTCCATCTCCCAGGATGGTGGTGCTGGAGGCAGGTCCTTGAGAAGATGGATTGGTGAGTCAAGAAAGGAACAACAGCTACAGAACAGGGATAGGAAAGGAAGGGAGCAAGGTGAAGTTCAGCTGGCCCAGCTACTCTTAACCATCCCATATAGTATATGGCCTAGGGCCAAGGAGAAGAGTGGAGGCAGAGGGAAGCCAGATTTGGGATGCCTGACCAACAGGAAATAATAAGTAAAGGAGCTATACTCTTTCTGGTCCCCCCTGTCATGTGGGAGGCTTTCTCTGAGCAAGCTATTTTGAAGGGAGCAGGGCAGACCAAACCAGCTCTCACCACTTCCTAGCCCGGAGTGAGGTGGGAGGCCTGAGTCTTGTGTTCACTTGGAAGAGTCCCAAGCCATCCACATTCTCAGTTCCTTTCTGAAAGTGTCCTTGCTAGGTCCTAGAAGGGCCACAGTACTTAAGAAGGGCTAAGTGACACCTCCATGATATCTGGTTCTGGTCCAGGTAAGTCTGGAAGGCAAAGATCAGGGGACAGTGACCACATGGCTGGCAGCAATAACAAGGTAAGTGACTCCCCTTGACTGTAAGAGAAAGCTTCAGGATGAGCAGGTGCTTTGCCTTCTTAGTGAGACCAAGGACCAACTGAATTGCTGTCTGGGGTTCTGTCTTTCCCCTTCCTCCTTTTAGTGCCATTTCACTACTACAGTTCTGACAATGCCCCTCATTTAGGTCCCCAATGCTAGCCTCTTCACTGACAAAAATGAATTAAGAGACTCAAGAGAATTAGACATGGGGGCTAAGAAACTAAAAAAGGCCCTCTGCATTAAACAGCCATCCAACACAGGGACAGACTGGTGGGGCATGTGTGCAATGACAAACTGATTCTTAACTTTAAAAATACTTGACTGAAGGGGAAAGAAAAATAGTCAAGGGTCTGATGAAAGCTCCTTAGGAGCCATAAACTCAGTCATGCTTTAGGGCAAGGCTGCTACTGGGAAACCAAGGCAATAAAAAATGAAACAAGACTCAAAAGCAGGAAAAAACTCCCAGGGAGCAGCCATCTAAAAGAGAAGTCCTGAGAACAAGTTATGGCTGTGAATCTTTAAAGGCAAGCAAAGTCCCTGCAGGTGGTAACCTGTATCCTGACCATCTGCCATGACATTTGCTAGTCTGATCACCTCAGGGACAGTTCCTGTTGGGTCCCTGGTGGTAATGGATGAGAAAATCATATTTTTTTCTCCTTCTTCTTCACCAGGTGTGGTTTGTTCAGCACTGACACTGAAAAGCAGGAGGGGAGATTTAAAATAAATGCAGCAAAACATGTCACCTGACGGGTTCACCAGTATATCACTGAGGAAATGGGAATCTTGTAGCTTAAAACATTTTCTCATTCTTCTCTGGCAGCCAGTTTTGGAAGACAAAATAAAAAAGGAGGCTGGCAGTTATTTTGTATACGTATTTAAGATGAAGGCAGAAGAGGTGAAGAAAAGGACATTCTTGGTTTTGGCAGATGGCAGAAGGTGGCTCTGGGACAACTAGAAGGGTTTCATACTGAAAGGCTATTAAAACTGACCTATCTATCAGTAGGCTTCTGGCTTTGGATTGCTTCCTATGGCCCTGGTAAATATTGCATAGTTCAAGAGCCAAGGGAGATGAGGAGGCTACTGGTGAAGAAAGAGGATCAAGAGGCATGAATTTCTTCCCCCGCAACTCAACTCTTCAAAGTAATAATTGATGAGAGTCACAGTCAACAACTTCTCAGGCAGGCCAGACCCTGGGCCCCTCTGCTGCTTCTTCCCTCTGTCCTTCCTCCTTCCACCTAATATTATATTCAAGAAAAGCCACTGAGGACATTTGCCATGATGTGTCAGGGTCCTGGAGCTTGTACTATGGAGAGGCATCGCATTTAAGGGGCATAGAATAGAAATGAGTTAAAGAATAACTCTGCAGGACCAGGGAGACCTAGTGGCTAGGCTAGGAAACCAGTGAGAGAAGGTAGTCCAGAGGGTGATGGGCTCTGGTGAATACAAGACAGCTCAGAAAAGAGATCTGTGAGGCTAAGAGATGGAGGAAGAACAACAGCAAGGGAATACAAGAGTCCCCATACATGACACCTCTAGGAGGGATAATCTGAACTAGTTATAGCAGAGGGACAGGGGAACCAAGAAGGAGAGCAGGAGCAAAAACATGACCAAAGGTGACAATATACATACTTTGGCCAGTAAACTGGTAAAACAAAAGAATCAGTTAATCCAGTAATCTGATGGAAAAAGCTTTAAATTGCATTGTTCCTGTTTGCCCTGATGACTAGAACTACAGGAGGATGAAGGGTGACAGGGAAACACCAATTAGATCCCAGGCTCTTTCCCTTTTCACTGCCACGCAATATCAATCAATAAGGCCACAAGATGAAGTTGCCAAGGCTTAGTGGGAGGTGGGAAAGACCTAGGAAAAGTCAAGAGACAAAAAGAGATACCCATACAGCTCTGGAAATAGATGAAAAAGGACTAGAAATTTTTGGGCTTTCTTTTTGTCTTTTTTGTTTGTTTTCTTGGTAGGTAGAGGAATAAAGCTTACAGAAGAGCTGGAAAATACTGCTGCTTCATAAGTCAAAGGTAACCTTACATTCTTCATAAGTGAATGCTTTCACTAGTATTTTGGAAAGGGAAAGGCATACATAAGCGGCTACTGGGAGACCAAGTCCTGAGTCTGTGGTGGGGCTGGGGATAAGATGGCAGGTGATATGCCATCAGATCTAGCCCCTCTATCAAGCAAGAAGTGGCATGCTGGTAAGGAACAAGAAGATAAGAGCCATAGCTTAGTGGGAAGAGAGGAAACTAAGAAACCCCAAATCTAGAAGTGCAAGGGTTAGTGTTAAAAGAGACAGGTACACGTGCATGGAGCAAGGATGATTGCTCGGACCATTTGGAAAAGCCTTTGGCTGTGGGTACATCAGAAACCCCACTCTTGGATGATGATCTATGTGGCTCCAG